CCTTACACGCACACACAAGTGCCTACATGGCATATAGTGGGAAAGTTTTTTTTCCCATTGCTTTATACATGCATAACCTGTTTACTGGTATATCTATTTAGGTAAAACTGTGCTTGTTTGTGAACCAAATGTGATGAGTAACTGTTGGGTTGTTATCCCAGTATCGGTGAAGTGAAACATAAAAGTTGACCAGCTGACCTGTATCCACATTTATCAGGGATTATTGCATCTGAATTTTGTAAGGAGTGTTTTTATATTTTTTCAAACAGTGGTTAAAGAGTGTTTGTTTTAAACCCATTTGTTGAAACAGCAATTTGACAGATTTGCCTGGGTAGGCATTTTCCATACATGTGCATTGCATATCCATTGAAATGAATCGGCCCTCTTGCATAGCAGGCACAGTAGTTCTTGGCTGGTTGAGAAGCTAGGAGAGCTGGTGGATGGACCTACTCTGTGTACCTGAGGTGACAAGATCAGTGTACGAGTATTTGTTTTGTTTGGGTGTTCATTCCAATAAGCTCCTCGTCCTTCCTGGAGGCAGACGAAACATTATACTATCATACAAGTGACTCGTTCCTGGCCTTTTCCTTGAATGTTCCACCAGCCAAAAACTACTGCAACCACTATAAAAGAATATCTGCTTAGGATTAAGTTTGCTGTAATGAAGTAACACAAGATACCAGGTATAGAAATCAAGTGTGGCATCTGTATCACATGGCTGCAAAGAGTACTCAGCTGTGGATTTTTTAAGGCCATATTTTCAGTAATTTTGTGAGTCCCATTTGATACTTGTTTCTTGTTTAAACCCCATAAAAAGCTTATGAGGTGAATTTTGAATCTAATATCTGATATCAACCAGATATTTTTCTGTTGGTACTCAGTGTTGACCATTAGTTTTCACTCGGTAACATGCCAGTTGTTCAAACTTCATTCACAAGCTTCTGAATACTCTTTCTGTGCCGAACTTTAACCTGTTTCTGATAACACCAATTATTGTGAAAGGGTGAGAGAAGAATTTGTAGTTATTTAAATTACTAATATGTAAGCTCTGAGAATTGGTTGTTTTATATCATATTAGATGATTTGGTTCAAACCTTAAGTTACTGTTCGTGTTGACATTTTAGCATTGGAAATAATACCAGGAACTTTATTAAAAAATATGGGCAGAATTTTCCTCAGTGTACATTTAATAAAGGTGGCTGAGTGTCACAGTGTGATGGTTAACGCTCCTTCGTGTTCAGGGTGTTTTGAGTTACAGTTTAATGTTTTTGCAGCCCACTTCACCAGACAAATGAATGGTTGGGTTCATGCTTTTGCCTCATTTACATAATTGATCTGTGAAAAATTAGGTTAGTTATGACCTGTTTTTCTTGATATTTAAAAAATTATAAATCATTAGAGCAGTTACTTATTTATAGATTTGACTGTTACAGTATGACATCCCAGAAATGAGAATGATTTTCAGGGTGACAGCTTAAAGTGATTTTTTGTTATTCTACTACAGAATATACAATTATTTTTAACAAAATTGTTGCAAAAATATTGACATAACATTTAATACCCATTTATTTGTTATATTGTGGTATAGATACATAATTCATAATATAGAAATATCCAGAGGAAGGATTTGAAAAAATATGCAATTAAAACTTGCTAGAGAACCATATATAAAGACATTTATGTCATCACCTTTCTAATCATTATTTTCAGCATGTAACATATACTGTTGTATAAAGTGAATATACTGTTATTTACCCAGTTACACCAAGTTACCCCTTAAAATTTATTTTATTTGGAAAATGTTACATATTTGGTGCTTTTGTGTGTGTGTTGTGATTAGGTTAAAAGGCATGTGGAACTGTGACACTTAATTCTAGCATGACACTTGACACTTTCAAGTACTGTCTGGCCCGTAAATATAATAGTTGGGGCATGGATGAAACCATTCAGTAACACTGCATTCTGCTTTGGATTCTCTGCTTTTTTAAACCTCTACATAAGCAAAATATACAATTTTTTGTGTTTAAAAGTGATAATGGTATTTATTTAAGGTGTATAACTTTAAAGCAAAGTGAAAAATTAATATGAAAACTTGATTGATAATGTGTCATTCATACTTTTCATCATAGCTATCATTTTCTCTTGGCGCTACAGCCCTTGTAGGGCCTTGGCCCCCATAACAATGCTTGCCCATTCCTTTCTGTTCACCACCTTCCTTCTCCAACCTCTAACTTCCATTCTCTTGAGATCTTCCTCTATATCATCAAGCTGTCTCTTGCGGGATCTTCCAGCTCTTCTTCTTCTGTTGGGATTTAGATACATGATTTTGGCAGCAGCCTCTTATCCTGCATTTTCTTTACATTTCCCAACGAACTCACTCTCCTTTACCTAATTTCTGTCACTGGGTCCAGATCTTCATAGAGACTATAGAGTTAGCGATTAGTTCTTATCCACCACTGTCAATTTTTGTTGATTGCACCATATGCTTTTTGGAGAACTTTCCTCTCCCAGATTTGTCAGTGTAGCTGGCACCAAAGTAGTATTATTATTCAAAGCTCTCCGGTTTTGTTCTGTATATTATATCCAGGGCTTTTATTATGAATGGAATTTAGTTGTATTTTCTATTGGTCTTTATATGAAATTGCAACTGTCTGTCCCTATTGTTACTAAACTCATATTAACAATACTGATGCTGTATGTGTGATTATAGTGCATGCCGTAAAAATAACGTATGCAGAGGTTGAATATTCTTTTATGTGTATGTGTGTATATGTACACACACACTAATGAGTTGAGCAGGTCACTTTGTTTACAATTGTTATTGGAATTTGCCTGCTGTATACATATCTTTTAATCAAAACCACAGTGTTTTAGAAGTTGGTTGCACTTTTTGACGTAAATACGTCTATGAGGAAGGGTCATTCGGCAAAAAAGTGTAACAAAAAATTGTAACGAAAAAGGGGAATGAAAAAGTGTAAGATGGTTACCTAGGAAGCATCATCTGTTTATTGATAAACAGATGATGGTTCCTAATTAACCATTGTTGTTTATTTGTCAACAAATAAACAGATGAAGTTTCCTAGGTAACCATTGTTGTTTATTTGTTGATAAACAGATGACATTTCCTAGGTAACCACCTTACCTTATCTTACATTACGTTACATTACCTTACCTTACCTTACATTACCTTCAGCTACCACAGACCCATCTTAAGCGTAACTAATTCAAGTTGAATAAGCAATTTATTAATGAAACTTATCTCAATTATAAAGCATGTATAAAGGAAATAATTAGAATAAAGCCAATATATAAACTTCCTTTCCGTATAGACGTATTTACGTCAAATTCTCCGGAACCATGGTTCCACTGACAACTTTTTCTTCAGGTGACAAGTTGGAGGCAAGATTGGGGCAAGGTTGAGACTAGCTCAACAGTAGGATTTTGTTTTGAAGATTGAATGAACTTCCAAAACATTGTGGTTTTAATTAAAATTCACTTAGATGATTGATAATGTCCAGCAGAATAATTATACCAATTGTATCACACCATCATCAAAAACCTTTAAACTTTGCTGTGACTTTGTTTATGCACTGATTGAATTAAAAGTATTACTCATTAGTTGCACATAGCATAAAGTGCATTTCACAAGTATAGAGATGCTCAGAACATGGATGGGCAGTTCAGAGGTTATACTGCATGCAAGGTGAGGTTCGCTTGTACTGAAGCCTAGTTGAAGGTTACTCTTATTAATGAAATTATTTTTATTATTAAACTTTTAGGTTGTGTTCAGTGTGTAATAAAAGTATTACTTTTCCAGGGTCTTGAGGCTACATTAAGTGACCCTAAAAAGAAATATCCAGATAAAGTTAATGCACTGCTATCAGCATGGGAACATGTAACTGCATTCATAGCAACATCAGCTCATGAGGCTTCAGAAACTTTGATTGATTGGGTCCACCGGTGCGTATGCTATATTATTTAGTCCTTTTTTAATTTTTAGTGTACACCCTCATTATTGAAGCTTGCGGTGCCACATTTGGCGTTGTTAAGGACTTGATGTCAGTAATCTGGATTGTGACACTGTGTGGACTTTTAGGTAGATACATATCAGTGTTTCAGAGGAACATTGGTATGTACCTACAAGTCTACATGGCTGCACAACCCAGAAGTTCAATATCAGTGTCTTCACCGTTGTGAGAAACTATAATCTATTAAGGATTGTTAAACAAAGATCTTGTGGTGGTGCTTACATATTTGCTTTATAATCTCAAAAAACTTTTAAGAGTTGGTTTTCAGACCTAACTTCTTTTCAACGTGAATGGATACATAATCCATTTGTAGTCACAGTCATTGGGAAAATTTCACCTTTCTGCAAAATCCAAGGAATTCCTGTTGGAACTCGCCTGCGATATGTCCCTTAAAAATAAGTTTGAAGCCCTACCTCTTTTTAATTTTTGGATTTATATCTGAAATAAGTATGTGTAATTCTCGCAGCGGCCATTAACATACTACTACTTTTCAGCACAACGTGTGAAGAAAACTATTCAGCAATGACACTAATAAAATTAAAGTACTGTAACTGCCTTCAGCTTGAAAGTGGCTTACCAATTGTACCAAAGATCCACCCTATGATTTGTCACCTAGTCTGAAATATGCAGGCCCATCCTTCCTACTGAATAAGTACTGTTGTGTTTATCGTTCATATGTAAAATAATTTGTGAAATATTTTTTGATTTAATGGTGGCACAAAAAAATATTTGGGAACCACTTGGGTAGAGAATCTGAAAATTATCATCCATGTTTGTTTATTCTTTCATGAATCTATATAAAGGTTAATTATTTTTTGTGGTGGTTTGAGAGATATGGAAGTTTTTCACTTACAACAATTGCAAGTCTCAAATTTAAGCATTTAAAGATGGTTGGTACCAAAGACTGTGCGTTATGATAACAGTTGAAATGTACATTGTACTGAAATAGTTTATGAAGTTGTAATTGTTATTGAAATACTGTTATGTAAAGGTATTTTCAGATCTGATAAAAATTTGTAGTATGTAAGATTATTTTATGCTGATGCTAAAAGTTTTTTTTATAAATATACAGAAGTGTGTTCATTTGGATATTATTCATTGTAATAAATATAAAAACATTGATTGTTTCTTGTTACAATTAAATCTTTAAAAAGTTATCAAAGGAATATGTTTCTCCAATATGGAATGAATAAAGAGAACTGTATTGAACAGTACAATTCTGTGTTATGATGTCCTTGGTAATTTCAGTAATATATTGGAGGTATTGTTGAAGTCTGGATATACAGCATATTATATGGAATTATATGCTCAACGTAACTCATGCTATTTTGTTAAAAAGATTATAAGAATTTTCAACAAATAAAAGTTTATAATTTTAATGCAGTTGTTTAATTTTGCACTGAAAATTTATCATGCGGAAACATTCAAAATAGGGTAAGGGTAGGTGATTGGAAGTGGAATCTTTGAAAGCTAAAAGTTTCACAGTAAATGATTTTTATTTTATATCAGGGGCAATCCATGATTTATGGAGAGCTAAAAATGGGATATTATGTTTTGTATGTACTATTCTGTACACTTATAAGTGCAGGTAGGTGAAGGCTTCAGAAAGTGAAATGTAATTATATCAAATTGTTGGTTAAATATATGGACAAATGGGTGATTGTTTTTGGTAGGTTTGCAGAAGATACACTGTTTTAATTTCAGTTCTTTATTTTCAGTGTTAGTAGTGGGGTGGTAAGGTTTGTTGGTGATGGAAAGAGGGGTGCTACAAATGTCTTTTTCAAATGTTAGTGTGTTTCAGTCAGTCCTGTGTTTTGGGTGAAACTGATAGTTGCACTTATGGGTCCTAAGTAAAGTGACTCAAAAACAAGAAAATGGTACTTGAAGTAAAACAAAGCCTGAGTTAATTGAAGAAAGTTGAGAACAGACAACTGGTAACAAAATTGGCCAAAGATTATGAGATTGTGATTGTGTCCATGAAACAACACTACTAGGATCACCTCAGAACTCTTTGGTGATGAAGACAACATAATTGCATTGTAAAAAGGAATGGTGGTGTTGGGTGCTATGTACAACATATTTAGGGCGTGGTCTTCGGTGAATTCAGTAACTCTGGTTTGATTGTGGAGGAAACTTGTTCCAGATCTAGAAGATGATCTTCAAGGTTTTCCTAACAAAGAAACTGGAAAGTACAAGAGTGTGGTGTGTGCTATGAGAAGTTTTGAAAATGTTAACAAAGATAACGAAGAAAGACTGTTAAGTAATGTGTGTGAGCTTAACTTCCAATACATGACAGATGCAGGCATTGTCAGTGTTGATGTGAAACAAGGGAGGAAGAAGAGGGTGAGGAGGATGAATGTAAAGAAGGAGATGGACAAAGTAGTGAGAATATCAATCATAGTGTGGCACTACAGTGTGTTAGGGAGGATTCAGAAACTGACATTGCAGCTATCAGTAAAATTTGTACTGCCATGCTGAGGAATATGAGCAGTTCATAAAAAACAAGTGACCATTACAAGCTGTCTCTCAAAGTAAATGATAATAGTGTAAAAAAATAAGGAATGTAATTTGTGAAGTTTTATGATTTAACCAAACAAAATATTTTGGATAATCAGTGTTTTTAAATTATTTGTGCATCTTCTTTCCTTCATTAGCTTGGATAATCAGAAATTTGCTCTGATTTAAGAGCGTGGAAATATAAATATTTTGAGTGATTTCGGTTGTAATGTTGAAGTAAAAAATAATATTTACACACACTATTAGGACTGAACTCTCTCTTGTCTTCCATTCTTAGCCCAAACCTTTGACAGTTGCTAGTATTTCACTTATTTAACTCAAGAGGAAGCAGATTTCTGCACACAGCTTTAGTGAATTTATTTTTATTTATGCACTTATCTTAAATACTGGATTTATATTCCCCATCAATTTCAGTGGACTTTCATTTGTCTTGGATAAAGGTGTTTGTGATGTCTGTATTTATGTTATTGAAGTAGATTTGATGCGTTTCTTGACTTTTTTATGTAGGAGCAGTATATAGAACACATTTGATGCGATTAATACTTTCTGTTCCACAACTTATTATTTCATTAGGCTTTTTACTTTTGACATTATTCTTTTCATATGATGAAACTAGTGGGTGTAGTGTATATTGAAGAATAAAAGCTGTCTGGAATGTGTTTAAAATACATCAGATAGAATCGGTAAGATCTCAGGCAATAAGTCATGTCAATATGAGTAGCAAATTACAGTTTTATCAAAGGTCTGTAAATTAACATCCATCTTTACATATGGGACACAGTGTATTATTGGTTTATCTCTGCAATATGGTTTATTTTGAGGCTGATCATCTTTTTTTTTCATTAAACTAAGTATAATCTGATTAAAGTTGGCTTTGTCTGCTGTTGTGGCTTTGGTATGGGGAAGCTAGAATAATCCCACTGCTGCTATCCGGCTATTGTACAGTAGGGCAATAGTGGGTGGTGATTCTGCTGTTTCCACAAACTGTTGTGGTGTGAACTGATTTAACAAAGATTATTATAAACTCTTCTCCCATACAATGAAAATGTTATACTTATTCAACTTCTTGTACTCTCTGGAAGAGGAGGGGTTGCCTTGCCTTGTCTTGTCGGACTTCTTCAACCCTTCTATAATTATGTTGCCACCAGTGACCCAAGGGCCACACAGCATTATTAGCACCTTCATGTTACATGTCTGTGGTTTCTAGGATAATATTTGAGGTTCTGTGTTAACAGTGCAACACAGAAAAAATAACAGTGATATCAGCTTTTTTAATATGCTACAAATTTATGTATGATGTAATAATATTAAACCTTTGAAGTCAAAACTCATCTATCTCCGTAGGCCACAACAAGGTTTTAGCTATATGTTCAGCATTTTCAATCATTTAACATATCTTCGTGGGATATTATAAAATAAGACACCTTATGTTCGATTTACATTGACTTGTGAAGACTGCTGTTTTATGGATTGTAGCAGAATGTAGTCAGTGTCTGCTGGACTGTATGGTTGTACATACCAGCCATATTTATACATCATGAGAACCTCAAATCTCACTATTTTGTTAAAGTTTTGTAAAAAATGTAAATTTGTCGTACGTGAGAATTTTGTATTATGAAGAGTTCAGGAGTTTATAATAAATATACTGTGTGTGTAATTTATTTAATAACAGACTATTGTAATCGAGCCACTAAAATACGAAAATTGTGTTCTTTAATGATTTTGTATACAAACAGTAATTTAGACAGTTGCATTTCCTTTTTTCAGGCACACACTGTACCTAGTTTTACAAGGCGAATGGCCAAAGTTGTCACCAGCAACTAAGACACATTTAAGTGTGACTCTGCAACGCTGTGCTAACCTGCTCTCAAACCATAATGCAGCTCCAAGGTGCAAAACATTGATTGGACTAGTTAATGACCCCTGGGGTCATCCAATTCTACATCGGATTTTGAATGGTGCAGAAGACCTGGATGATTCTGAAGGTGAGCATGTGTGACATGCTTTTTCATTTGGTGTGGACTTCTACCAGACTACATAGTGCTACAACCCAAAAGACAGCCAGCCAGCCATCTTTGTACTTACCACTATGAGAACCTCAAAGGGCTGTTTTCAAGACTTGACATCTTTAATAAGATGTCAATCCCTGAGCATCGGCTGTGGATGTCATTTGCCAAACATTAACTCAATTGAACATAACATTGAGACAAAGTAACTTTTGTGTTAATCGACCATACATAACTTTATCATGGTTATTATTTGCTATTTTTACTGGACATCAGTATGTTTGATTTATGGTTAATAGAAGGGGGCCCTGTTGACTGAAACCCTCTGCTTTGGCTCCAGTTTTGTAGTATGGCAGTAGACCCTCCTACGACTTGTGTCAAAATATTAGGTGTTGACATTCCACTGCATCTTTTAATATGGAATCTTATTTTCCATTGTTGATTTATAAGTCTCATAAAAGTTAGTGCACTTTTGTTGTCAGCGACAGTTCAGTTTGTAGCATGTTTGCCTACAGTGCAAGCAGTTGGGGTTTTTAATCATTGTATCTGTAAGGGATTTAATTTATCAGTTAAATCTTTACAGTTGTTTATTTTTCTTCCTTTATCCACATTTGAGAATGAGAAGAGTGCATTTGGTTTTGTAATTGAAGTATTTAAAGTAAAATTCTGCTTTAAGGCAACTGCAGGTTGGGTCCTTCAACTTTTCTGGTTTTTATGACTTTTGTGTGAACTTTTTATCATACTCTGACTGTGTATATTAACTAGTACACAGGCATAAATAGTCAGAATATCTGTTGCATCTTTAAACCCACTACTACTGCTGCTGCTATAACTACTACTACTACTACTACTTGCACATATAAATTAATTATAAATATTTTGTTAATATTCATAAAATTAGATGTTTGCAATGTAAAGTTGGGCTCGTGAAGGTGATTACTTTATAAGACTTGAGGTTCTCACAGCGGTGAGTATGTTACTTTATTTCACATCTTATTTATAATGAGTTATGTTTGCAGACATGGTCACCAGAATATAGTTGTAATTTTTTTGGATTCCCTAGTGCTTGTCTTGTCAGAATGATTTTGGGATATTCTGAATGTAAATCTGTTTTCTTGGATGAAACTTGCTAATGTTAGATCTTCATTTCACTGTAGGACCACAGTTTCTTGCACCCAGCCTTCTGGTTTGTGATACAGCGTCTTACAAAGAACTGGATGATTGCATGCTGTTGATTACATCACTACCATCAGCATTACCACTTCTCATCTAGTTTAATGAGATTATCAGGTTGCAGGATGTACTAATTGACTTCACTTGATTTGTCTTTTCAGTTTTAGAATTGTGCCAGACTGAGAAAGGAATTCTTCTTTCAATGAGATTGGAAATGTTGTGTGAGTCCAAGTGTGAAGACTTAGCCCTGAAGCTAGCAGAAGCAATCCACAAATGTCTTCAGTCAAGGGATTCTTGCTACCGAGAGGAGAGTGCAGAGGAACACTTCTTTTATACGATAGACATGTACATTGCACTCCTCTACAAATTCAAAAGGATACATGATATAATCAAAGAGGTGATGGTCTGGCTGAATGATGTTTAAGAATAATGTATCATTTGTAATATTTAAATATTTTGTTTGCTGGATTTCAGGAATAGGTATTTCTACATGTGGTAACAAAGTATTTATATGTATTGATACTGAAAATGAGAATTTAAATGACAATATTAGCAGATTTTCTTGTGAATGTGCTTTGAGAGCTTAAGCACACTTTTCACCACACTACACTATTCAGTCATATTTCTCTGATGCTTGACTTTGGGATTCTGCGCAAACTGCAAACTTCTCACTCAAGAACGTATTATGATTCTTAAGCCTTTTTCTGTGTACTTGACAGTTCTGTAGGCACCCAATTTTCTCTTCTTCACTTTTTATCATGTAACCACTTTCTCTGGATTGCTCATTATATCTTTTCAGTATGTGTTTATAAGTGTTTTTGTCTCTTCTGAAGATTCTGGTTTTGTTTCAGCAAACAGTGGGATACTTTAAGTATATTTTGCCATTGCTTGACCTGTATATTGTTTATCCACTTTTCTTCACCTTATCAAAAGGGAATAACAAGATTCTTTGAATGTGTTCAACATCAGTGATTAAATTGTGTGTCTTCTTCCAGGCATTATTGCTTTTTGATGATGTATTATACCTTTTAAAGTAAAACGAATTAGTGAGCAGAAAGGAATAATTTATAATTTTGCTAAGACATGCTTCTGAAATTAGAAGATAATTCCCTAATGGCATATTATTTATTTTCACCATTGTGTGATCCTCATAATTATCTTAACATCAAATTGACAACAGTATTTAGCACTAAATTAACAATTCAGTGGGGTAGGGGTATTTTTTTACAACACAATTTAGAAGTATCAAATTAAAAAATAAATTTATAATTGTGTTTTATTATTAACCCCTGAGCGTGCAAATTTAAAAACCGCTTTTGTGCTCGTCCTGCGCAGATATTTTTTAAATGTCCATTTAAATTTTGCTGTAAAATACTTTTTTTATCATAACTTTTGAACTATATGAGATATAATTATGAATTTTTCACTGAAATCCTCTTAAAAGTTGGTTTTATAATCTTGCCTTATAAGATGAGCACCCTGTGTATCAGCAATGGAAGCAAGTGGATCAGAAGTTGAGCTTGGTATGGAAGTTTTAGAAAAAAACGGAGTGAACAGCAGCCGGTTCTTTGAATAGTATGATCTAAGTGTAGGCTTTTGTACAATGCCCATCACCATAAATACAGCCAAAACCACGTAAATTTCGTCCACTGTAGCATCTTGCCACTTCCTAATCCTAGAGTGAAATGTGAGAGGATGAGCACTTTCTGATATTTCTTGCTGAGCATATCTGCTTGTTTCAACAACAATGTGCTGTACAAGAGCTATATCAAATTTTTTTTCGAAAAAACCCACGACATCTAGTTCAGCAGTGTCGAATTGGGGACCACATATATTACAAAATGCTTCCCGTGAAGGAGTAAATGAATCTATATCTTTCCACACAAATTTGCTGGAAACTGCCTCTGCGATTTGTTCCTGTATTTCGCCGCCACCATTGTCACTATCTGTATCGCTAATAACGTCATCTCCGGGTGTCACCAACTGTGCGTAATCAATTTATAAAACACCATCTTCATCAGAACTGTATTCACTGAGAGAGTCATCTGCTAGAAATTCTTCTACTTGGGCCTCTGTCAAGGCCTTGTCCAAGGCCACTCCATTGTAACTATGAGGGGAGGCGTTTATTTTTAGACTCCAGGTACTTGCTAGAGGGAAATACAACAGGGTTGCCATTCACAACAGACCAGTGCAAATGTCATCGCGCTGGAGTTATTCGTTCCATACTTATGGTCTGTAGAAATTAGGCCTACAACCTGGTGTAATAGTACTGACATACGCAGCCAGGGATTTAAAGTCCTGCGTAACTTTACTGATTCGCACGCTCAGGGGTTAATCTTGTGTTTAATATAAAACTCCTAAATTCATTGTTGAAGTAAGATTAAGAGTTAAATTTGAGATTATTGCACTTTGTGTGATATGTTAATTTGTATTCAGAAGGAAGTGTATAAGGATTTCTACTTTTTGTGTAGTTGAAACACTTTGACCTGAAAGATGGGCTGCTTTTGGTGAGAAGATATGCCTTAAAGGATGGTAAACGGGCTCGTGTATGGAAATACAGCGCCAAAGTTGCAGAACTTGCTGCACAATACTTCTTGACAGTGGCCATGGTGAAGCCAGTCAGTGAGACTGGGACACTGCTACAGGATCTCATGACAGAATGGGCCCTTCTTCACAGTGATTTGCCTTCTGTGTCACAGACTTTACCAAAAATGATTCGGAAATTGATTCAGCCAGCTGAGAGTGCTGTGCATATTTATCTTTTCTGCCAAGTTCTAGTGAATCAGGTGACGTATATTTTCTTGGAATTCCTATACAGTAAATAAAGTGTCTTCTTCAATTGTATAGTAGCTCTCGCCAGATTGCATCCTTCAAGTTTACAGAAAAATTGTACAGTATTACAACATGAACAGCAGAGTCCAGGTAAGTGAAGACAACTTGTAGCTTGCAGTTTATTAAAACCAGCAACACACTATTTTTGACAGAGAACTGTGCCATAAGGAGGATGAAGTCTGTCTGTGGCCCTGATGCATGCAGTTTGGTGATGACTACTATAATAAAAGTCTGGATTTGAGTGGTACAGTTTGCCTTGGGGCCATAAAAAGAGTTTAGAAATTTCCGTACTTTGGCATCTTTAAAACCCTTCAAAACTGTGAACATTTTGAGTTTATAAGGCATGTTTTTCTAGGTTTCATATCTGATCTAATTTTTGCTTAGACTCTGATTTTTGTAGTATGATAAGAGATGGTACTGTTATGTGGAATTTTTGATAAAAAAACTTTTGCTCATAAAAAGAGCAGGTAGCTTTGTAACTTAGTAGTGCCTAAGCATTGACCTGGTTGGCATAGTTAGGTTCCCGCAGGGGCAAAGCATGTTTCTCTAGCTTTCATGTCCGTACCGGCTCTTGTGACCATCTAGCCTCATATCCAGATAGTACTAGGGGCTGTTCCCTCATATATAAAGTGGGCAGTGCATGAAGCTAACCACTCAACTCCATCTGCTGCTGGCATTAAGAATGTGCTGAGCTCTGCATATACGTATTTATGGTGTGGTATAACTAAAGCTCATGGAACAACACTGTTTTCCTTTTTTATTGCTGAGAGTGGCCAGAAAGTGAGCATATAATTTGTAAAAAAAACTTAGGTGTGGTACTGTGTGTATGAGTCAGTCCTGGTGTAATTCTGTACCTTGTTTCATGTCAACTAGTGACAAGCTGTTCCATTATAAGTTCTTGTCTGCTGTAACAGCAGTCAATTAAAGAAATCCGTGTAATTATTTGCTGTTTGATCCTGGGAAGTATGTCAGCAGAAATTCTTTATTTGGTGGGTGTGTGAGTAAATGATGCTACGAGTTGGCATTGTGTCATGAAATGTTACAACTGTATGTTGGAGGAGGGAGTACAGATGGTATGGAAGGAGCAGTAGGCCCAAGACTGTGACCAATGCTGACAACACTAGTAAACATTGCAGTTTTTAACAAGAATGGTTATGTACTGGGTCATGGTTTGCATTATATACATTGAACATTGATCATTATTGTACATTATCACATTTTACAAAGACAGCATTGTGCAGTGGAATGATTAACTTTACATAGCATTGTTGTTTAATATTTCCTGTCTCTCACTGTTAATAATACTGAAGTTGATTGTCTGCATTTTGGAAAAATGTTGACAACTGCATATATAGACTGTAATAATTGTCTTTGTCAGTGTGGTTTGAGAACCACAGATCATATATTGGAATATAAAACTTGTCTTGAAGACTCGTAGTTGCCCTTTCTTGCCCCCGTGGTGGAAATGAAGTATGAATGTTTTCTTTTGATGACCATTGAAGAGAAAAGTATATTATTTTGTTATTGGTGATTATGAAATATTGTAAAATTCTTAAAGTCACAATTCAAGAAATGTGTTTTAACAATTATTTACTCATTTGTAGTTTATTTAATGATGCTGTCAGTACCGCAGACTATGTATTGTCAATTAATGGGATGATTAATGAAAAATTAATTGGGAGGGAAGTGGAAGGAAATAGTCACAGCCAAATTGAAGGAACCAACCTGACATTTGTTTGGAGGGACTGAGAAAAACAAAACTTAGGATAGTGGGTCTGTGAGGGCAAGATTTGATCACAGGACCTCCTGAATAGGAAGCAAGAATGCAAACCACTTGTATGTGGTTTTAGTAATTACTGAAATAAAACTTCAAAAAGGTGTTCAAGCTTTGAAATATGTTAATGAAATGCAACATGTAAGAAAGCATTCCACATATTGATTAAAGTTTTAAATGCAAATTAGTCCATATGTTTATTCTAATAAGGTACAGGTTAGTGAGATATGTTTTGTTGTTTTTTTTCTTTCAGTTTGGAGATGCACTGAAGTCTCTCTGCATTGAGTTATATATCAGGGGACTTACAACTGACATGAATGAGCTAGAACAACAGAAGATGAAAAATGACAGGGATAAAGTTCGAGAGGCAGAAGTAAGATTATCTGATGGTTTCTTGAAGCTTGCTGATTTGGTTAAAGACAATGTGGGGGTGTGCCGTGAGTGTGTCCTTACTGCATTCTCTTTAAACCCAACTCGAGTTTGTTATGAACGAATTAAGGAAATGGCTGTTGCGAGTGGGAAGTGTCTTTGTCTTCCTGCTCAGGTGAATACTGTAGATGTAGGAGATCCAAGAAGTGTTAGTGAGGGTAAATCGCAGAGCATAGGGACAGAAAATATGGACTTAAGTTACAACTGTGTCGGTGGTGAAACTCGGAGTGATCCGATCGAGGTCGACACTGGACAAGTGATGACTGTGGAGTTTGAGCATCCCGATGAAGTCGTGTCATCTCGTACTTCTCATTGTTCTGAAGATGAACCGATTATTTCTGACTTTCATTTGCAACAGAATAGGTGTAACCTCCATCCTCCATTTGACCCCAGCAGTGGCGGTGCTCTTGGTGAACTTTGTCCTGAATGTGGTGAATTTACTGGAATAGAATCCCCTGCTGTGGATCCAACTGGTGTAGAGAGGAAAGAACGTACACTTGATGCATTAATTTTAATCAAGGGAAATACTGTGACCGAATCTTTGAACTATGATGTGCTATCTGCTCCGAATCAAGTGCTGGATGCTGAGACACTAGGATTGACTCCACAGCTTTGTGATGACTTGGCAGTTGTACTTAGCAGCCCTCGTTACCAAATGCTTAGTTGGGTTCTAGACTGGGCAGAGCTTAGTATAATGTGTGAGAAATATTTGGAGAATGGTGAGGAAATGAGAGGCACTACCAAAGAGTTGAAATTCTTGAATATTGATTACAATCAGTTCAAGGATTGGCCGAGTGGTGACGACGAAAAAGATGAGTATTATGGCATTGAGAAAGGATATGAACAGTGGGTCGACCTTCGAAATGATACGTATGATACGTCGGGAGTGTTGTACGGCCAGGCGTGCAAAAGACGTGCTAGGCCCATACAGGGGGATTCTGACTCTGATACGTCTGTTGCTCCCAGGTCTCGCACCAAAGGAAGGAAAGTGAACAAGTTGGAATATTCAGACTCTGACTGTGACTCTAGTCAAAATACTGAAAGGATGAAGCACAAGAACTATAGGCTGCAATATTCATCTGTGTATGATTCAGAGAATGGAACACAAGATAGTAGGACTGATAGTCTTGGAAGTGATGGCTTCAGAGCTGAAAAGCCAACAAAGAAGGAGAAGAATGGCAGAAATGAAAAGGCATCATCTGGTAAAAGAATTGACCAGAAAAAATTGAAAGACATTTCACATTTCCAAGTGGTGATGAATGATGATCTAAGCCAGGGTGATTTATCTAGCAGTGAAATGATGAATATATTTGCCCGCATTGGTGAGAATGGCAAAGAAGTTCCAAATACACAGTTTCCTTCAGTCCCTAAGCTCAAGTCTGTTCTTAATCCAGATAAGCATTCAAGTAATCCCTCTGTCCTGAAGTCATTGAGAATGTTTAGACCTCACAATGTAAAGAACAGTCCACGTGATCACTTATCACAGATTTTGCACAATAGAACAAAGGAGAGTCCACCTGAAAGAGAAGAGAATGATTTATCATATACTAAGTTTGCTCCTATGCTAAGTACTTTGAATTTAAACCCACGTATTGTTCTGACTAGGGCAGATGTTTCACATCAAGATCTCAAATCAAGTAGATTGTTAGCTGAAGCAAATAACAGACCAGGAAACCCTCTTTCCCAGATTACTCCAGATATTCTCTCCAGAAAATCCATTCAAAGTAAAAGTCTGTTTGATGTTGATAGAAAAAATCAGATTCCCATATCCCATTCATTGGTTGGAGATATGAATAGACATCAATACATGAAAAGTGATCTGTTGGTGAAAAATGTTCCAGGATTGAACTCATTGGACATGATAGTACCACCACCTTCAGAAGCTACGGTACAAGTGGTACAGTTGCCTAGAAATACACCATCCACAAGCAACAACAGTCGAGGTAATTCCCATCACACTCCAAAAGCAACACATTCACAGAACCTTCAGTCTTCAGGAAACTCATCAGGTGGGACCTCAGGTCAGGTTTTGGAATCACCTTCAAATGTGAGCAACGTATTGACCCACTCTCAGTCCTCACAATCAACTTTAAACACAACCATTGAAAATCCTCAAGGTCAGGCAGTTATTTCAGCATCATCAGCACAGAGTTCTAGCACATCCATACTGCAAGCAAAACCCATGAAACTGAACTCTCAGTCAGAAGTGAAGTACTTGACAACAACAAGTGAAGTGAATGAGATTCTTAGAAGTACACTAGGAGAAGGCAGTGTTCAAGTCCATATAGCACAACAACTTCCATCATCTACAAGTTTGACAAAAAAGCTGAATTCAAGGCAAGAAGTAAAATATTTGACATCATCTAATGAGGTTACAGAGGTTCTTAGGAATACTATTGGTGAAGGTGGCCAGCAGGTTCAAACAGTATCTGGTTCCTCATCACAGCACACTGCTTCAGTTTTGGATTTTGGTTCCCAGAGTAAAACAAAGGTAAATTCACGATCAGATGTCAGGTTTCCAACTGCAGCCAGCGAAGTGAATGAGGTTATCCGAAACAATCCAGCTGTTCCTAAGCCAGTCACATTAGAAGCAAATACTTCTACATGTCCCTCATTACAGAATGCTGCTCACCAGACTAATAATTCTCATCATGTTACTCCTGTAGGTCCATTTCCAGTTGTAAAAGGAGTGGACTTAAATGTAATAGCAAGTATAATATCTTCCAAAAACTGTGCTAATTCAATTACTACATCATCAGATAATCCTGCTTTGACATCAGATTCCCAGATGCTGCAGTTAGTTTGTAAGGGTCGCAAATTTCAGATCAAACCCATCATCTGTACACAAGCAGGTTCTAGAAGTGTCATCCCTGATCATTCTGATGCATCCACCAGTGCTCCAGCATCTTCACTATGCACCGAACACCAGCAGCAGCAGCAGCAGCAGCGTGTATCCACACATTCCATGTATGAGGAGAACTTTGCAGGATTCTCAACACCCGTGAGGTCGCCAACCAAGGACAGAAGTTTAGCTAGCAGAGGACAGAAACAAAGTTCATCTCAGACAGCTACTTTACCCAAATTTCAACAAGCATTTGGGAAAACAATATACAATAATCAGGCCAGTACTACAGTGGATGGAGGTTCTCGTAATGCTACTGTCAGGGGTAGTGAAGATGAAAATGGTTTAACACGTGAAACAGTTCCATCAGAAACTGCACCACAAGCATCCTCTGTTTCAAGCACAGTGCTTTCAAAAGCTGTTCAAACAACTAACATGAGCAATATAGTTTCACGTTCCCCTGATACAGGAGTTATTCAGACTGAAGTGTCTAGCAGTGTGGATATTGGGATTCCATCTACACTGCACGTTACCAGCACTGGATCAGTGTTTAGTATTTTGCAAGGATCTCCCAGGATTGCTGTATCTGCAGCACTCAGGGCAGGGATGACTGTGCAAGCCATACAGACTTCATCTGGTGTTATATACATGCACCCTGATACAACTACATTAGTTAATTCCAATGCTGGGGCAGCTCTTGCAAGCACCATTTCTGCCAGCCGAACATCAGGTATCAAACCGTCTCAAGCGTCGGAAAATGTTCAGCAATCGCAGCTACCTGATGTGCTGCCAAGTTCTGTGGCTGTTGCTATAGCCACGCCATCTATTCCTGTCTTGCCCAGAGATGCAGAGAAAAGGAACAGAATGCTGGCAGCAGCTTTGCAGAATCCTCACCATTCATCCACAGTGAGCAGCACAGAAAACCAAGCTGCCAATTCTTCACAGTTGCAGGAACCAGAAGTATGTGTAGTAGAAAGTTCGTCTGATGAAGAGGTAAGCAGTGCAATACCGCAGCAGCAGCAGCAAATGCTGGTAACAACAGCAGCTGTGCATAGGGTAATGCCTGTTCAGAAAACTGTGGCTAGACAAATTGGTCCAACAACAAGAAATGTTCGACCAGTGCTGCACATTCCTGGGGCAGGAAGTCTTATTGCTCGATCAGCTATTGCCAGTGTCGCCGCACCACTGAGGCAGCAGAGTGTGCAATCAGTCTTGGTGTCTCCAGTATCCTCTACTTCAAATTCTAATGTGAACACCAGGTTATCACAGAATGTGGGAGCATCAGAGACTTTGATTACGCATGGTTCAATTGAGCCTACAGTTAGTTCCACAACACTGGAACAACTGCGGGAATTTGAATCAGTTTTAGAACAAGTGACTAACACATCGCAAATGAAGGAAAGAAGTACAGTTCAACCTCAGCCACAACACACTATCCTTACCCAACAGCTTCTCCTGACACAGGCAGCAACTTCAACAACAAACACTGACATGGAGTTTACATCTTGTACTGGAAGCCAGTTGACACCCAGTACATTTTCACAGGATTTATTTCCAATAGTTTCAACAACAGCAGCAACATCTAGGTTGAATGTTACATATGTGACACAGGCTTCAACAATACGAACTTCAAGCATTGTTCCTGTATCTGCTGTTGCAGGAGGAAATGTGACAGGAAAGATGTCATCTCCAGTGGTGGTAGTAACCAGTAACTGTCAGCCTGTAGCTTCACCTGCATTGAGTGTAACTTCACAAAGCTCTTCTAGTCCTTGCGTGACTCCTGCACCGTCTGCTACTTCAACTTCTTCTGGGAAGTCACCCCCTAAATCTTCAAAGTCTTCAAAATCCAAATCTGTAAAGTCTGGCACTGCAACAACCACTTCCAAAGCATCGCCTGTACCAAAGCCACAGCAGAAGCCCCAAGAAGATGAACAGACTGCTCAAAGGATTTATGCAATTTTAGATGAATATGCAGAACAGTTGCGTAACTCTCCTGACCTCAATAATAAACCGGCTCCTCGACGTCGTTCTAACCCTCCTACAAATGCAAATCAGTCTTCAAAACGGAAGAAATCTGCACAAACGAAAATGAAAATTTTAGGACAACAGTCTTCCTCAGCCCAAGAAATGAGTCCTGGAGCAGATGACCCTCGAACTATTGGCAGTGAAGACAGTTCAAGTGGGATCACTCAGCTGTCTCATATTCAGGATTCTCCTGCTCCATCGTCACAGAATGCAGATGAAACTCTTAGTTTGAGGGCCACTCCATCCATGGACATTAGTACTGAGGCTGGGAATCTCAGAAGTGTTGTGTCAGATGCAAGTGACCTGCAGGATGTTTCAAAGCAGCAGGGGCAACATTCACAAGAACAGAATTCTCATTCTCATGAGCAGGAACAGTCGGATGGACAGCAATCACCAATGCAGTTGCACCAGACAACACAACATGGACTCTTATTCACAGATGGTAGTGGCATCCAAGGGAGGACAGTGATAGTGCAGGAAAGTGTACCTAGTTGTGTGGAAGCAACAGGTGTTGGAAAACCTGTTGTGGTAGGAAACTCTGCTGCAGTACCGGCACTGTTTGCAGGAGTCCGTCAGGTGATTGTGCCTGTGGCACCTGGTTTAACAGCACGGCCTGTTGTGGTGTCATCCAAAGGTTCTAAAGTGATACGTGTTCACCAAGTGACAGTACCTGGTGGTTCATTGCAGGTGGCATCAGGAATGAGTGCGATGCAGGGGACTGCATTGGTAGTGCGACAGATCAACAAATCTGGAATTGCAGCTCCAGTTTCTGTTCTTGGACAGCCTGCTACAGTGAAACAGGTGAAATTGCCTGTAGGTAGTATATCTTCACAGGCAATAAGTGGTGTGACTGCTCAGCCTCCAGTAGTGTTGCCACCAGGAAGTCATCACCTGTCTGGTCAGGTTGGCAGTGTAGTTACTTCAACAATAGCTCAAGCACTTTCTTTTCCAGAATCTGGCATAGAAAATGTTCTGCAGGATGGTACAATTAGAACAGAATCTTCAAATATCATTAGTTCTGGTGAAACATTACTTTTTAATGCTGGTACAACTTCACAGGCAATTGGTTTGATACGGAGGGGAATACCTACGTCATTTCATGATAGAATTGCTACATCTGTAGGTGGTGTCATGTCAACCAGTACATCGGTCACTATACCAACATCAGTTGCAGTAGATAGGTTAACATATCCAAATGTCAGACAAATTTCTTCAGTTAGTCTTGAGTCTAATGTTGTCACTTTGAACTCACCAAATTCTAGCAACATCACATCCAACGTGATAGAACAGTTAAGCACTAACAACGAATCTTCCCCAGCATGTGATCGTGAGTTACCAGCTGGGACAATTTCCGAGTGTAGAACAGAAACTAATCCCACAACTCTGTCCCATGAAACAAGTATTCAGTGTCTTGGCTTTGGCGTTGATATTGTGACACAGAATTCTTTAGGAAATACTAGTTACCATAACAGACTTGTGAAAGATATAGGAAATGATGTACCTCATATAGCAAAGTCTGGTACAGAAAGTTGCACTGTACCGTCTGAAGGCTTGGAAGGTAGAGACGATAATTTATCAGTTTCGACTTCCTGTATCAAGACTGAATCTGGGGAAGCGGGTGGAAGTTCAGTTGGAAGGTTAGAACCTAATGTGAAGGCTGAGTCAGTGAAGATGTCTGATTGTGGCACAACTTCCTTAGATCAGCATGGTCACTCTTACCATTCAAATTCTATATGTCAAACTCCTCAGTCTCAGCTCCATCATGCAACAAGTGCAACTGATCAGGGTGGTGATGCAGTATTACTTCAAACTACAGGAACTAATGCTGGATGTACAAGTAAGTAATGCCCTTATCTTGATTTCCATGTTTGCACAGGACTTTCTTCAAGGTGTAAAAGTGTGCTGCCAAAGAGATAGAGACATATACCTCCACTTCAAATATAAGCAAATAAATAGTTCATAACTTACCTTTAAAGGGAATTTCTCATGTAGATTTGTTTGTATTATGTACTCTGAAATTTTATAGCAAATCCATTACATTAACATTGAATTTTCTGTTCTTGTGATGTGCCCAATTCAAAATGATTATTTCACTCATAATATATAGTGGAAGAGATCTGTCAAAAATTGTATAATTAGTTCTCTTATTTTGAATGTTTAATTTTAGAAACATTAAACAGTCCTATATCTTGTGATTTTCAAGCATTCTATTCAGGGAAATTCTGTTCATTTGAAGTTGTTATTAATAGAGAATGTGCTTCTCAGTGACTTTTCACATTTGGCTTTCCAAGTTCATGTGCCCCTGTTGTAGGCAATTACAATGAGAATTCCTTCAGACAACCCACATAAAGTGAAAATGTCTGAGGATGAGGAAGATGAGAATTTGCTGTGTGCTGCCTATTAAAGAAAACAAAGATGGGTGTGGGTGTAGTGATAATTACTGCTACAGCTGTTACATCCTCCAGAAGATGTAGTTATTAGCAATACTGCACACTGGTATTTAATTGTCTGAAACTTTCCTTGCTGTAACTTTGTAATTTTTTTCCCAATGCCTAGCCCATACTTCCTGTAGACCTGGGTTCTGGTTTCCAAAAGTAAGAATAATATTATGGAACATTGCATGTTTGCTTCCGTCATGAATACTGAGGAAAACTTTTTGTGTCCTTTTATGACCATCAAACAGAAACAAGATGGAAACGGTAGATTGCAGAGGTAAACATACAACATTGGCTGATTTATCCTTTGTACACTAATTACACATCAAACCTTAACTTTTAAATCATACAATAACACTTCATGAACATCATGAGGACTTTCTGTTCTCCAGTATGTGTTATTTTAGCTGTTTATGTATGCACTTAAAGTGTACCATGCCTTGTCAGAATACATAATAAAATGTAAGTTCTAGGTCAAGAAGTCCATTGAATACTGATTCCTGAAATTGTCTGCAGTGTCATATTCTTCCTTCACAGTCTGATAAAGTGCGTGTATTACTAGTTTTGTAAGTCTGTAACATTAGAAAGTTTGTACCATTGTGAGTTGTACTTTTTGCCAACCCACATTGAAAAGCCAAAGATATATCATCATCATCATTTTCCATGGATCCATAAGTTAGTCAGATGACAATAGGATGTAGAATAAGTCATAATAATACAATACATGTTATACAAATACAAACACAGGATAAATTACGACTTACTTGTAGACATTAGGAATTCATCGACAGAGTAAAAGGAGTGTGTAATTAAGTATCTCTTCAATGCTGGTTTAAATTGTGCCTTTTTATTTACAAGACTTGAGA